TCTGCAAAAACAATACATGAAGAGTAACAATGGCCCTAGTGTTTGCGAAAACCTCATCTCATCTTCTCTTGACTACATTATTGTGCTTGCTACAGAGTAAAACAACTGCAGGTTTCTGGTAGAATAAATAATTAACTTGTATTGCTGTCTTATCCCCTCGACTTGCGTTCAGGGCTTTGATGTCTTGTGGGATTGTTGTGCTTTTGAGCTGTGATGCATTTGTAGCTTGAGGCCTAGCCTGTGCATGCTGAAGTGCTGATCATGTTTCAGCCGTGTGAGAACATCCCCAGAGCACTGGGCCTTAATGGTCACTTCTTTTCCTCCTGCTCATCTCTCAGTCCACTCCACTCAATACATAATTTTAATCTTTAATATGCATTCCTTTCCCTATTTGCCTCTCTGTACTTCTCCTCTGTCCTCCAAACCTCTCCTCTTTGCCCCTTCACTCTGACATTTCACTGTAGGGAAACATTGTCTTCAGCTGCCATGATGCAGCCTTCCCCTCTCACTGTGTCGCCTGTGAAGGCCTTCCAGCAGATACAATAGTCTGATTGTCTCAAATTGTCAAGACAGTGGGGGTCAGAACACCAATGACATTGGCCTGCGGTGAAAGCCAGAGCATGTCACATAATGCTGAACAGACTATGACTTTAGTATGATTATATGAGATAGCTGGAAAGATTTCAGTTTGCCAATTCTGCCTGTTCAGATATTTCACTTCCTCTAGATTGACAGTTCAGAGTGACATTTGGCTGTATTTCAAGTTGAAACAAAATATTTAACCTCTCTACAATGAAAACAACCGCTTACTTTAGCATTCAAGCAGCTCATTAAATTACATTACAGTTAGATAATGTTATGAGGTAATATTAGCTAAGAATCAGTTGAGCACTAGCGTTTATCAAATTGAATTTCTTGCACCTTGTTAGGTGGTGAAAATATGGCGTTGTCTTTTTATACAGGCTTTGGTGATTCTTGATTTTCACATATCATTGTGTTGTTAGTTGTTGATCACTTAAGAAGTGGTGAAACAATACAATTTGCCCCATCTCCAACATTTTATATGATTTGCAAGCCTGAAATGGAAACAATACAACATTACAATAGATGGGAATGTTAACCTGAGTGATGTCAGAGCGAAATGGCAGCAGTGTGAATATAATCCCTTTTGAGTTATTGAGCCTCTTTAAATAGTTTGATTGACTTTTGGCTGATGAAGAGAACCAAATGTTTTCTGAATAAGATGATTGACATGTTTCTTCCTTCTGTTTGATTTGTAGAGCTCCGTCTTTACTTTTATGAAGTACATTTGTTGGGCTGGAGAGTCATTTTGCTATTGGTTGGATCTTAATTGTCGATTTAATTCAAGCTTCTAACAGCACACATCTCACATATCCTGGGTCATATCCACGTTTTCCCTTTTCTGCTCTGTTTTTACAGTAGCTGCTAGCACCACTCTTTGCTCCTGTCCAGCAGCAGATGATTATAATAAACTGTGTGCTCTCCTTTTGTGATGACTGTGCTTTGAATGCCCTCTAAATTTGGGCCATGTTTTGATGAGTCAGCCTCCCAGTGATCTCTTGTCACTGCTTCATCTGGCATTGGCATTATAACTAGAAAAACCTAGAGACTAAAGGTCTGACAGGTGTGTGTGCATGCATGAGAGCATGTGTGTTAGTCTGCGTCTGTGAAATAACACTGTGTCTTGTTGCTCTGTGGGCAAAAAATTAGGGTCCAGGGGTAAATTCAACTGTAACCCTTTCCCCAAAGGACTAGAAGCATTAACCCTCATCTTACCATCTATATTAGTCATTGTTGTTATTAGCTAACATACAACATCAGATCTGCAGCACTTGCTGTTGTAGCTCTTGCTTTCAGGAAGATTGCTGTTATGTGGAAGGTAGGCAGTAGTTGCCCCTTGCCCCCAAAGAGTGGTTCGAAGGTTAATGGGTGGCTGCCTGATAAAAGAACACTGCTTTTTTTTTAAAAAGCGGAGTGTAAGGTTATCAATGTTCTGACAGTGCATTTAATGTACACAGATTTTCAGGCCAAAATTACTCAATATAAAAAAGGGTATATAAAACTCTGTCTCAAACTAACTGCACAGTCCAGGTTATTCTTGAGAAGGAGAGATATCCCGCTTTTATTGTGAAATTTAAAGGGAGGCCCATGAAGAAGTAGTAGGGTAGGGGGGAAGCGCAGTATATATATTTTAGGTCAATATTTAATATTGTTATTCGGTATTATGTTTTTTCATAGTCATAATGGTATTCCTGTATATATTCTTAATGACAGGGTTGACTTGATGAGAAAGGCAATTACTCTGCAGCAATGCAAATCTCACCTGGTGAGATGGCTGGGCCGCAGTTTTGCTAAGATGCTAACACTAGCAAGCAGCAGCACACTAATAGACCTGAATATTTCACATTATCCAGCAACAACTTGGTAAAGTACTACACGGCAGGAGCTCATAAACAAACAGTCCGACATGAACACACACACAGCGCTGTGCTCCCTTGCTGGCTCCACCGATACCGTCTCTCCTCTGGAACGCCTCTGTTACCTCGGAATACAGTTCAGAGGGGTGAATCACTTGGTCCACACATTATGCCACAGAAACATTACAGGGGTGTAAATATCGCTGCTTGAAACACCTGTGCATGGTTGTGTGATGAAGACTACAGTTCATAGACATAACGTCCAATTATTTGTTTGTATTGTACAGGAAGCCTAGTTTTGTATCTTGTTCAAGTAACAAACTCAGGGACATGTTGTTATGAAATCATACATTTTTCCTTTTTTTGTCAGTTCCATGAAGTACAAAATACTTTAGAGTCCATAATCGATTAGATCAAATTGTTCAACATTTGAATTCATTGTTTGTCTATTAATCAGATCGTAGCCTGTGAATCGAGATTTGAAACAGATCTACTGTACAGACAGAATCACAGGCCTACTGACATTGATACTATTTCAGCGCTGTTCAAATTACTTAAAGTCACCTCTCTGAAATGACTTGTAATTTAGTACCAAATTTAACCTCATCAGCAGTAGTGAACCATGCAGCATGCTTGTACCAGGACCAAATAATGTGTTGGATATACTTCCTGAAGTTACATGATACAGAGGCTTGGAGGAGAAGCAGTGGGATCAGTTGTGTTGTGTGCTGTAGACCTGTGTGTCTTCTGCTTAAAAACAAGCTGCAGTTGTCTTTTTATAAATCTTTAAGGCTTAAGTAAGCTCAGTTTATCCACTGTTATCAAAGTGTCAGTAAAGTAATTTCCCTTGTCTGGTTACAAGATACAGTTAAAAGTGACCAAGCTCTAAAAAATGATTTTATCGCTCCTCTTTCCAAAAGAACCTGCTCTAAAACTTAAGAAATAGGTAACAAGAAAATCATTGTTAATGAAACAAGTAAAATAACCAGTTTAGAAACGGGTATGGAAAGGTTTTAAACAAAACCCACAGCAATTTATAAAAAATGATCTGAAAACTTTAGATTTATTATCTATTATTTCGCCCAACTCATTTGGTAAAGGCTAGCGAAAATGTAACTTAACTTTTGTTTGTTTCTTGTGTTAATGTTTTTCATCCGTTTCTATGCTCTAGTGAGCTGTTGGAAGTCATTTGAGAGATTTTGTAAAGTATGATATTGTTTTCTCACAAGCCACTGCAGTTCATTTAGCTTTGAAAAAGCTGCGAGTCTGTTTCCAGCAGGCCTTTGTAAACAGCAGCTTTAGGTCACTATGACATGCTTGTTTTTGTTTTCTTTGCTTTTAGAATTAAGTCATTTTAATTGACCCTTTTTTGTAGATACAATTTTTTTATTATTATTATTTTAGCTAATAAACCTCTTACTGTGTTCCTTATCTTTCGATTCTTTTGTTTTTTCATTGTCAAAACCCTCACACAGAAAGGTAGTGCGCAGTGTGGGGTTGATCCATCCACATTCTTCAGAAGTCACACACCAACACAAAATGGGTGTGGTGGTTTCTAGAAGCAAAGGCTATTTGCAGTTGTTGCTAGTGAGTTGCTCACTTGGCTGGTGTTTCTTTTAGACACCTTTCCTCTTAATTCTACGTCAGAGTCTTTAAACCACACCTGTTTCTGACGCACCTGTTGAAGGGAGCAGTGTCAAGTGTAGCTCTCCAAAGAATAGTTCCCTCCACAAACCAGGGCTGGGTTTTAAATTAAAGCATGATCACACTATGCCCAGTTGCCCTGTACCTTGCCAAAGCACTAGTTCCCTCCCTCCCCAGTCCCCTGCTGGCCTGCACTTACATAATTTGGCCCTCTAACACTTCTGGATATCTCGATGATGAAGGGCGGCCAATATACGTCATACCTCTTCCGATTTGTGCATTTACAGTTTTTTAAATCCTGCATATTTGTCATTATATTAAGTAACTCCAGTGTTGAGAAAGTAGCGCACCATGCCAAGGTGGCATATATTGTACATTTTGGAACATAAATGAATAATTTCTATATGAAATGTAGTGTACACATATGTTACACCAAAGTACTAAGAAGCTTGCTTTCTTAAACATAAACAGATTGATTCAAAAACATGATTAATCATTGTCAAACCATTACAGTGTAGACCAATGCCTGCTGAGCTTAATACTCTGCTTCATGTTGTGCAGACAGTGCTAACAATAGTGTACACCTTGTGATCAGTTTTCATTAATCCTGAACATTATTTTTTTATATTAAATATTGTATAAAAAAGTTGAATACTGCCATATATTTGGAATACATATCCCATTCAGCTATATTGACAGTCAGCCCTATTGGCCTGATGGGGTTCTGAATATACTGTATGTTGGGCTTTATTATCTATGCTTTCTACACAGGCTGTTGAAACTACAAAGTAATTATTGATAGAAAGGTGAATAGAGGAACCATTTCAAAGAAAATGATATAACATATTTGTGCTGTGCTCATGTCTTTGACAAGGCATGATTATTAACCTTACCATGACTGTGTTTGTCTTTTCACAGAGGGAATCCCTCAGGTGTACTACTTTGGTCCTTGCGGGAAATACAATGCCATGGTTCTGGAGCTGCTCGGGCCTAGTCTAGAGGACCTGTTTGACCTCTGTGACCGCACCTTCTCCCTCAAGACCGTCCTCATGATAGCCATACAGCTGGTAAGACCTGGAGGATTGGCACAGCATGTTGAAATAAACTGACTTAAGTTAGTTCAAGCTCTACAGCATTGGTTGGGGGGGGGGCACCAAAGATCTCAGGCCTTATTTAAACCTTTCATTAACATCCATCCTGGGTGATCTGATGGAAAACGTTATTGCAAAGTCGGAACGCACCCAAATGCCTCTTGAATTCCAACAGCTCACACCATATACGGAGGTGGTCTGGCATACATTTATCCAGATTGGTTAGGTAGTGGAGACGTTCATCTGCCCTGGGCAGCAACAAGGACCATTCCCTCAACTAGGAGAACAATGCTGCCTCCAGCTTGGTGTAAACAAAGACTCATTCAATCTTGTCAAACAGGCAGGAACTTATTTGCACGTGAGGCGGGCAAGTAAATCCGAATACGAAGTTCTAAAAGGAGACGCATAATTAATGCAAAGTGTAAACGTCCGTATTTAAGTGTTATCCCCTTGGTATCTTACTACCCAGGGTGGATGTTGGCGCAAGGTACAAACATGGCCTCAGGGGAAGGGGAGGGGGGGTTTAACTGAGGCTGTCCAAAATTTAAGTTGCATATATTCACTTAAATGATAATAACACACTTACTGAATAGTTTATTCAAAGGTCTTTTAGTAAGAGCATGTGTGTGTAGCCCTTATCTATTGGGATTTTATCAATGAAAACAGTTAAAAACTATTTTTTTGGATGGTAATGTATCATTTTCTTTTCCTGTGGGTTCTGGGGATCTAAGCTTTTTTTAGATAGAATAAGAGAGGGACTCCAGGGGAAAACGAGTCTGGCAGCACTGCTTTAAAGGATATGTAGTGCAGCTCTGAATATTTTTGTATAGTAGAGTTAGTTTTTAAAACTAAAGGAAAGAGAAAAATGTCAAGTCAGTGGGTTTGAAAATGAACTGCGCATACTTGTTGTTGAAACTCATGTGATCTGTTTAATGTTCGTCTAGATAACACGGATGGAGTACGTCCACACCAAAAGTCTGATATACAGAGATGTGAAGCCAGAAAACTTCCTGGTCGGGCGACCAGGGAGCAAGAGGCAGCACACCATCCACATCATTGACTTTGGTCTGGCCAAAGAGTACATAGACCCTGAGACCAAAAAACATATCCCCTACCGGGAGCACAAGAGTCTGACTGGGACAGCACGCTACATGAGCATCAACACACACTTGGGAAAAGGTAAGAAAGTCTCATGAACTGGCCAATGGTTTGATTAATCCTTTAGAATTATATTCAGTTTAATTGAAATGTATAAACGTTGATTTTACCCACAGTGATATGTTGACCCTTGGAAACCTAACTACCTGGAAATCAACAGTGTATATTGAAGCTTGTTAAACTTTATCCGTCTTTCACAAATATCTCAAAAGATTTCTCTGCTGCCTAAATTCTGGGAAATTTTAAGCCCTTAATCACCTCTGTTTTCCTCTTTGGCAGTTTTGGCCAACAATGTGCCATGCAGAGAGAACAGTCTGCATGTTTTAAGTCCAACCAATCACCTCAAGAAGGTGAATTCACTGATTACTCGCCCTTGCTAATCAGTGGGTGGAATGAGGAACACAAACCTGCAGACTGTTGGTGCTCTGTAGTTTAGGATTGCCTCCCCACCCTCCTTTACCCTGATGCTTAATCGCGGCCTTTCAAACTGTACATAGTTAATTATCACTGCTGGGTAATTGTGCTGTATTTTGTACTGCACAGTAATTATTAAACCTTGCCAGCTGCTTCCAGTATGAATTTGTTTCTCACAGGTAACCTAATTTTCCTCTCGTTCGGTCTTTTCCAGAGCAAAGCAGAAGGGATGATTTGGAGGCGCTGGGTCACATGTTCATGTACTTCCTCCGAGGCAGCCTCCCCTGGCAAGGCCTAAAGGTACTGAAGTGTTTTGACATCGATGGAGATTTATAACAGACTCCCGTATAATCCTCGCAGTACGTGGTAAAGAGATTGATCTCTTAAGGCTTCTCTCCTCAGGGACAGAGAGCCTGATGTTTACTGCACTTTCTCCATCACACTGGTGACATTTCAATGTCTCCACACGGATGTATGTATTTGTGTTGAATCTGAAAGAGTAATAAGCACCATCTCTGTCACTCAGCCACACAACTGTTGAGACTTTTTTGATTTTTTAATTCATTGTTTAGGATTCATAAATTCTTTGAAGTTTTTATTTATTTTTTATTATTCCCAGCTGAATAATTCCACTGTTGACCCCTTACTCTACAACCAGCAAGCATTGAACGATCTAGAAAAAAAAACATACAAATGGTTAAATAAACAAAGTGGATATAGATTGATTTCTTTGGCAATAGGGGAAACTGTTAACTTTATATTTTGGCTATTGCATTAGAGTTAAAATGCAGATTGAATGCCAGTAGCTCTGAAGTGCTTAATAAGTGCTTGGATTTTACTCTTTAAAGTCTGTATTAACTGTGACTCAATATAAACTTGATCTGTGTTGATAATGAACAGTGATGAGGTGATCAGATATAAATGATGGAAGAGTCATACCTCATCTGACTTTGTCATCTGTCAGCCAATCACAATCAAGAATTCTCACTAGCCACAGTATAAAGTCGGCTATTATTTTCTCTCTTCTTGGGCAATGTACCAATTGGACTTGTTGTCTAGGTGCCACTTAGGTCCTTGTCTGAAAATACTTCTGTCAGGTATTTTTGAATTTATATTTTTTTAAACGGTCAACTGAAAAAAGGTGACCATTTTAAAATATATACATTTGGTTAACTAAGACAGAGCTCAAAGAGAGGCGGGCAGGTTATGGCTGCACATGATTGCTGGGTGTCAGTATCAAAGGTTTACAATAGAACTGACTAGAAGACAAGACACCTCATCTTCACATTTGCTATGTGGGAGGCAGCTCGTGGTAGACAAATGTGAGGGATGTATGAATGTGGAGGATGATGGATGGCTCAGGCCAGTTCTCACCAACACTCAGCATAACAGTTGGCATCAAAATACAGTAAAGGAGCACAGATGAGCAACTATGGAGTGTAACGGTATACAAACCTGACGTGGGATTCTTGCTAAGTGTAGAGCAGCATTTATGGGATTAGAAATATTTCTTTATTTTTTTGTAGTCGATAATTGTAAGCTAAATGAAGAACGATAGATGATATAAGGTACACTGACAACTTAATGCTTCCTATCAAACACAAGAGTTGTACAGGGTTTCTTAGAACAACATTCAGGGGAAATAATAGACATGACATTGTTTTACAAAGTCTACTTAAAAGTTGAAACACCTTGTGGAACTTCTACATTAGCCACAAATCATCTTGTGCAGTAATAAAGTGCACACAATGATTATTAAGCCTTTTGCTATATACCGAATATTACATGAATGTTATCAAATGAATAAAATAATACTAGAATGTCACTAGTTTTCTGTAAGTACATTAAACTGCACATTGAAGAAATGTATTCCCCGTAAGGTTCACGTGAATATTAAATGAGCTATGGAGTCTAAAACTTCTAAGACTAGAAGTCTAAGACTTTTCACTTAACTGGTGATTTCTGCTATATTGTTTGGCATTGAAATCGGTTTCTTAAAGGATGGACTTTTTGAGCCATTCGAGAAATTGTGTCTTTTTGGACTTCCACGTTGGCTTGATTTTTCAGTCAGTGAACATTGGTTGACAATATTTGTGTTTTTAGTCTCACAGTCGGGAGGGGGATACAAATGTTTGGCATTTTTAAACTAAAAGTTCCCATTTAGTCTCTGCCAAAGCTTGTTGTCTTTAACATGCTGCACAGTGCATCCCATTTTTAGTGACCTGGTGAAAGTCTGAAGTGCCATGGCAGACAGAGTGATTTATGCCAACACAACCCCTCAGTGTTGTATTTGTTTAATAAGGATTCAAGTACTCAGAATGACTAACCACAGGATGTCCATCTTTCTCAGTGCCCAGTTACACCTGAACATTTACACTGCCAGCAGCTTTACATTTGCTTACATTCTGAGCGTGATGTATTTTTCTGTCTCTCTTCTCTTCTCTAGGCGGACACTTTGAAGGAGAGGTATCAGAAAATTGGGGACACCAAACGGGCCACACCCATTGAAGTGCTTTGTGAAAGCTTCCCTGGTCAGTAGTATCCACTAGTTTCATTTCGGTGTAGCTACATTTTTTTCCACATTTAATGATATTTCGGATTTATTGATATTTTCTCTTTGGCTACAGAAGAGATGGCCACCTACCTGCGCTATGTAAGGAGGCTGGACTTCTTTGAGAAGCCCGACTATGACTACTTGAGGAAGCTCTTCACCGATCTGTTTGACAGGAACGGCTATGTCTTTGACTATGAATACGACTGGGTCGGCAAATCACTTGTGAGTGCCTCTTACAGAATCAATATCACCCTGCTGCTCTGGAATCAGATGATTTGACCATGTAGTTTTCAGTTGTTGTTTGTTGACTGTAATAATTTCTCTGTAACCCATAAGCTGTTACTTTGTGAAACCCTATAATGCCAAATCTCAACTGTGAATTATGGCCATGTAAGTTAAAAACATACAGAGCCAGGGGAGGAAGTGATATACTGAGAAAATACTCAACTCTGAGATTAAAGTCTCCTGAATAGGTAAAGCAGTCTGAAGGGCTGTGAGGAAACAGTTGGAGTCAAGCGGTTGCTCGATTATGGCCAAAAATCATAATCACGATAATTTTTGATTGATATTGACATCGCGATTATTAAACACAAGTTACTTGATTTGACAACCTCTGCATAACATGCATATATAAAACTTAAACACTTCTAACACTTTCACATTCTGCACAAAAAAAAGAATAATAAATAACTGAATATAAGTCTGCTAGTTTTTGAGGTAGTGGTGATGTACACTTGTTGCCAAAGTACAACAAACACTTTGAAACATTTACCACACGTGACATAACCCCCCCCCCCCCGCAACAAAATGAGCGCAACACAGCATGCGGTAAATGTGAAATCTTGATGATCTTGTTTTTGTGATCGTGGGAAACTGGTAATTGAAATTGAAATTTGATGAATTGCCCAATCAGTGATGTTGTAACATCAGATTAGGAGCCGTAGTGACCCTGGAAAACATTCAAAGTGATACCATGTTGTTCCTTAAAAAAAAAAAAGATCCCACATGTTTACCTGTTTGTTGGTTAGTTTTTAAGGATAATCTCTTAAAAATGTGCATCCCCCCCTAAATATACAACTTTACTCTTACTTGGGTTTTTCTGACTATTACTCCCATCCCCAGGCCCTGGATTTCTTAACCTACATTGGCCATGATACACTTAATAAGTAAAACTTGATGTTGTGGTTCTGAAATATAATATATATCTATTATTTAATAACTTGATGACTGTTTCTCTTCCTTTGGTTTCTTAAAATTGCCTTACTTCTGACTTGGCGTTTGTTTCCTTGTGTTACCTGCAGCCCACACCTATAGGCCCCATCCCCAGTGACACACCCCTGCAGCCCAGCAGCAGAGACAAAGCACAACAGCAGACCAAAAACCAGGTGAGTTCACCAGTATTAAAGCACAACAAACACCACACCCATGCACCATCTTCCAGCCAACTGACCAGCCTGCAAGCCAGCCAACCAGCCAATCCTGTAAGTCAGGTTCCTCTGCCAAGCTACTCTTATTGTCTATCAACTTCCTGGAGAAAATGGCTGCCATTCTGTCCACCTCTCTGTCATATCTGTGCCTGTAAAAGTCAGCTGACAGTGACGTCATCCGTCCAAATAGTCCTTGACAGACTATATGGCTTCACAAACTAAAAGTACATGTCAGACAATGAGGCTCTCTCGCTCCAGCTGTGAGACAAAACAACTTCAATTTAATCTACACACTTTGCCACGCTAAGCTCCAATCATTGCATGCATGAGTTGAACATGCAAACTGCATTGTTCATACCAGCAATGACATACTTAGTGTGTGACAAAGTGTGGACTTGTTCTTAATGTCTGTATCTCTCTTAATGGCATGCTATCCGAGCCTTGTAATAATGGAAGTTTAGTTTTAGATGTCTACGTTTAGTCAAGGGGGTAAAAAAAAACGAAGTAGAACTTTTCTTAAACACAAAACATGTTACTGTACGACATAGTTCTGACTCATAGGTTCACGTAAAGCCATACAGGTGGTGCATTAGATTTTACTGTGACTTGATACCAGTGGACTCTAGACTCTTTTTACTGCCTTACTCCTTTTACTTTACTCTTTTACTGCTTTACTCCTTTTACTGTGATTATCTTGGTAACAACACTAGCAAGCAAATCAGTACCAACCTCATTTCTCATGACTGTAAAAACCTGTAACTTCCTGGTTCAAACAGTCAGCTGTTTCATAATAAAACACATGATGTCTTTATTGCTAAGTGGTGTGTTTTAGTTGGTGGGGAGAGAATAATGTGCAATGTTAGTTCTGCAAATGAAAACGAAATGTTTAAAAAGAAGCAAACTAAACTTTAGCTTGAAGTTGAAATAAGTTGTTGGCTTCGTGCCCAAAATCCTACCTGTGTTGTTCTGATTATGTAGTTCTAGCTGAGGTGATCAAGGCTGTTTTCTTTTACTCCTGCATGACTTGATTAGTGTTGATCTGTGCTTTGCATAAAATGTTTGCTTCCCTCTACTCCTCTATTAACATAGTTTGTCTTAACAAGCCTGCTTCTGCTTGGAAGATGTCTTCTTTAATTTTTTTGTTTTTGTTTCCTTGTTTTTTTTTTTTTCTTCACTCACTCCCCTTTCCCCCTTGTCCCAATTCCCTCCATCCTCACACCCATCCTCCCACCACACCGCCTCACCCCCCTACCCTTCACCCAACCCCCACCTCCCCTTTCTCCCCACTTCACGACCACCTGCCTCTACACTTTTTGCTCTTTGCGTCAAGTCGCCTGAGCCCAAAGGAAGTGAGTCTCAGCCCACTCCAGTGACCAATAAGGAGACTCTGGGGTCGCACCTCACAGCTGAGAGGCTGGGGGGCTCTGTTCAGGTACTGCTGCTAATGCTACTGCTGCCGCTCTGATGGCTAACGCATGAAGCCATATAGTTTTTTGTGTGTGTCTGACCCCTCTTCTCACTCCACCCTGCCTGCCTGCCTGTCAGGTGATCTGTCCTGACCCTCTGTGTGCGTGACTGCGTCAGATGGTTTGAATCCCCGTGTGTCAGATCTTTGCCTGTTGTGTGTTCGCTCTCACAGCTTCATTCGCCTCATCTGCTGATGGCTGCCCGCTGAGCAGGGCCAGAAAAAGAATCTCTGGTGCAAAGCTCATGAGATGGAAAAGTAAAATTGTTACAAAAGGCCAAACACAGCAACAGAAAACATAAACAAATTAAAATCATTTGACCATTTCCCATTTGTTCACTGTTAAAAGGTCAAATGTATGTCATTAGAAGAAGAGTCCTCCATAATTATTATGGCTCAAATATGACACCTAGTGGCAGCTCGTTGAATTGCAGCTTTTAAAATGTTTCAAGTCTGTCTTAAAAACATTGTATACGACCATGTGTACATCAGATCCACTTTTTGTTTTTAATATTCTCATATATCTCCTAATAGAAGAGATGGAGGATACAACTTCAAGTATTTTATCTTTGCTTAAAAAAAATGCACTCCGTACTCTGTTAAATAAAGTCTTTGAAAGTACTTCTACTGTGGAACTCCCCTTTATGTTCCCACAGACACTGTTTCTGTCCTGAGCTACAGTGGAGGAGAAGTAACACAGTGTGGGAACTGAGTTCTAAAAATACTGTAACTCTGAAAGACACGTATTTGATGTTTCAAAAATCAAACTGCTAAAAAGAAATCCAAGCTTTAGATGCATCTCACAACATTCAGAATATCTGCACAGATTGAGGACTCTGGATTTCTTCCCCTGTCTCTAATATTGGGGGTTCCAGACTACATGGTGAACTGCTCGCTGTATCCGAGAGGGCAGATAAACAGAAATATTCAGTGTGACATATTTATATGTAAATGTTCATCTCCTCCCTGCAGTCAGCTGTATGTGTATGTTTGTGAGCACTCTGGTTTTTATTCTATTTAGGTGATGAGTTCAACAAATGGCGAGCTGAACACTGATGATCCTACAGCCGGACACTCCAACGCTCCCATCACAGCACCCACCGAGGTTGAAGTGGCTGACGAAACCAAGTATGAACAAGTAGAAAGTAGAAAAAACACATGTTTAGAAAACAGCACTACTAGTTGTAGGGTTGGGGTTTGGTACAGAAGCAGTTTTTGAGTCCACATCTAGTATGATGGTCTAAACGTAATCCAGATCCTTTTGATCTCTTTTGAGTTCTTCAGTTATCTTTGATTATTCACAAGTACACCTGTGAAATGAATCCGTTTCTAAACATGCACTGAAGAAAGAGAGAGCCTGAGGTGCACAGGTAAGCAGAAAAAAACTGCAAGAGGACGACCAGAATATCTTTGGACTGACATTTTTAAAGAGGTTCAGCACACTGAAAACGTGGTGTTGAGCTGTAAAAGAAAGTAATGATCGTAAGAAATGAAACTCAGTTATTCTAATATCAAAGTTAACTTTTTATACTCGGTTTACAACAATATCTCGGTTTAATAACGGCTCAACAAATAAACCTATTGCTTTTAATCTGTTCTGAACCTTGCAAGGCCAGGTGTAGTGAAGTTGGTTTCTGTCTACTACATGATATTTTTCTCCCAAAAAAGGAATCAATGTCACCGAGCAACACCCCACCCCAACCTCCCACAACTACCAGCCATCAATAAGCATTTTTCAGACGTGGGTGGGGTTGGGCCCATTATTCTTGTGTGATCTTTTTTTTAAATTATTATTATTATTATTATTATATTACACATGCATCCATGTTTAAAAAAAAAAACCCTGATTTGAAATCTTGTTACACGTTTGCATTGGAGGAAATCTCATAACAACAATCTCTGACGTTAAATATTGACGTGACATTCTCGGGATCAGCTCACAGTACTCGATGTTTTTCTCATGGCTCTTCACTCACAGAATTGAATCAGAATCTTAAATATGAATATGTGTCTTTTCCCTGAATGTAATGTCTCTTTGTCTCCTGCAGGTGCTGTTGTTTCTTCAAGAGAAGAAAGAGGAAAGCCTTGCAACGACACAAGTGAAAGAAGAGAACGGAGAGAACTTGAAACATTGTGGTCACTGTCAAGTTTTAAATGGAAGCAACTACACAGACCCCAATCCCTGTTCCTTATCTCTTTCCAGCTCCCCCCCCCCTCACCTCTTTATCCCTCTCACCTCATTTCTCCCTGTCACTCTGTACCCCTCCTCCCTTCGCGCTCTCTCTTTCTTGTTCTCAGAGCTCCCCGGCTTCTGGCGAGCTAAAGGAATGTTGCAGTCCTACTGACTCCACAACAGACTCTTGATTCCTTTATCGACGAAATATACGTACCTGCATTACAACGGGGGGCTTGAGACAAAGTAAAAAAAGCTGTAACAATGAAACTCGAATCTGTGGCGTGAATATGAAAAAAGATGCTGTTTGAAACAGTTGTTGTATTGATTTAGATTCCATAAAGATTGCATATTGTTCCAACAGTCAGCTGTTGATCAGGGGGAACCACAAGTGGTTTGAGTGAAAGAAAACTGCTCATTAGGAAATTGTTTTATTTTTTTTCTTTCTTTCTTCCTTTGGTGTGTGTTTTGGGATCAAGGTGAAGAGGAAAAGGTGAAGTATGCCGCTGATAAATCAGAGAGACACAGGAAGCATTTCATCTATAAAACAGAATTGGAGGACTTTTATGTTTTATTTTCTTCTTCTTTTGTAATGGAATCCTCAGTTTTCAAAGTTGAATCCCTGCATTGAAAACTTATTTTTATGTTGTAGTGTTCTGGAGCTTGATTCTTTTCCTCACTCTGGCTTTGTTTTTGTCTGTCGACGTGGACTTTGTAGCACAGTCACTGGCCTCAGGTACTGTGGACGATTGAGAGAAACAGATATCAAATTCTCTTATTGTTATTGCACTTTTGGAAACAAAAAAAAAAAGAGAAAAATATGACAGTGGAAAAAAAAAACTTTAGGTTTGAAATTAACAATTAAGAAAACAACTAAATAAAGACTGATCTAGGAAGAGTCCTTCATAACGCTTATATCTGAATTATGGCCGCAAAATGTTGTCGATTTACATTGAAGAAAAAAAGATATGTCTTTCAATTTTTATTTCTTACATCAAAAATAATTTACCAGGAAATCATAGTTTGTGCCTTTCTAAGTAAAATGTTTAAAGCTCAAGTGAGTGTCGCGCAATGACATTTTATATGATCTGTCCCAAATGCTCACTGGATTATTTTGTGTCTGTGCATGTGTATGTCTGTGCATGGGTGTGTCTGTGTGCCTGTGTGTGTGTGAGTGAGTGCTTAAAACTCTGGAGGTTAAAGTGAATGTGTTACACGACTGTGTACACACCTTTGCTCTCACAAGCAGTACACATCCCTCGCCTTCATCCTGCACTGTGACAATCAACACATCTGTTCAGCGGTGGTGTGGAGAGAGATCAGGAATGTGTGTGTGTGTGTCTCTTTGTGTTTGTGTTGGCCACAGAGAAAGTGTTCATGGTGCCAGCTTGAACAACCCAAATCAGTATGGACCCTTGTTTCTTTCTTTTATATCCATATACAGTATCTCACAAAAGTGAGTACACCCCTCACATTTCTGTATATATTGTATTATATCTTTTCATGGGACAACACTGAAGAAATGACACTTAGCTACAATGTAAAGTAGTGAGTGTACAGCTTGTATAACAGTGTAAATCTACTGCCCTCAAAATAACTCAACACACAGCCATTAATGTCTAAAACGCAGGCAACAAAAGTGAGTACAACCCTAAGTGAAAATGTCCAAATTGGGCCCAAAGTGTCATTATTTTGTGTGGCCACCATTATTTTCCAGCACTGCCTTAACCCTCTTGGGCATGGAGTTCAGAGCTTCTCAGGTTGCCACTGGAATCCTCTTCCACTCCTCCATGACGACATCACGGGAGCTGGTGGACGTTAGAGACCTTGCGCTCCTCCACCTTCCATTTGAGGATGCGCCACGGATGCTCAATAGGGTTTAGTTCTGGAGACATGCTTGGCCAGTCCCATCACCTTTCCCTTCAGCTTCTTTAGCAAGGCAGTGGTCGTCTTGGAGGTGTGTTTGGGGTCGTTATCACGTTGGAATACTGCCCTGCGGCCCAGTTTCCGAAGGGAGGGGGGGATCATGCTCCGCTTCAGTGTGTCACAGTACATGTTGGCATATCATGGTTCCCTCAGTGAACTGTAGCTGACCCCCCCCCCCCCCCCCCCCCCCCCTTCAACCTCTGCAGCAATGCTGGCAGCACTCATACGTCTATTTTCCAAAGACAACCTCTGGATATGACGCTGAGCATGTGCACTCAACATCTGAAGTCCACCATGGCGAGGCCTGTTCTGAGTGGAACCTGTCCTGTTAAACCGCTGTATGGTCTTAGTCACCGTGCTGCAGCTCAGTTTCAGGGTGTTGGCAATCTTCTTATAGCCTAGGCCATCTTTATGTAGAGCAACAATTCTTTTTTTCAGATCCTCAGAGAGTTCTTTGCCATGAGGTGCCATGTTGAACTTCCAGTTTTCAGTATGAGAGCGTGCGTGAGCGATAACACCAAATTTAACAAACCTGCTCCCCATTCACAACTGAGACCTTGTTAGTAACACTAACGAGTCACATGACACCAGGGAGGGAAAATGGCTTATTGGGCCCAAGTTGTCCCATGAAAAGATATAATACAATATTTACAGAAATGTGAGGGGTGTACTCACTTTTGTGAGATACTGTATTTTATATATATATATGTTATGGGGTCACAGACAGACGTGCACCTCAATGAGGTTTTACTTGTTTATAAATCACATCATGTCTCTGGATTATTGGGCTGCAACCTTCATGAATTTACTATGTACTATGAATCTCCCTTTTTTTTTTTTTAAATTCATTTCCTTGCTGCTGCACACAACATGAGCTGCGACACAGGATTCTTTTAATGAGCGATTGATCATTTTGCATTATAAAGCCTAAAAAAAACGTGAAATATGTCATGTGTTGTCCACAAAAATTCAACTTGAAATGAAAAGCAGAGAATCTTGGCATTTGTCAACCTTGCCTAATTGGCTCTATGGCTGTTTATTCTGCTTAAAAGATTACTTCAATAATGAATCTTTTCTCACAATGGCTGCAGAGTAATTTTCATTCCATCTATTTATGCCCTTAGTTGCAGCTCTGGCTTCATGTATCTCTATCACCATATTTTGTTGTCTTTTATTTCCTGGCCCACAAAAAAATGTATTATTATTTAGCTTTGTGCTCAGCCTGTGTCCAGGATTGTTTATACCCTGCCCCCCCCCCCCCTTAACCCTTAGACAGCTGGGAAGCCAAAACATATCAAGACTTTCACCATATTTTGTTGTCTTTTATTTCCTGGCCCACAAAAAAATGTATTATTATTTAGCTTTGTGCTCAGCCTGTGTCCAGGATTGTTTATACCCTGCCCCCCCCCCCCCCCCCCCCCCCTTAACCCTTAGACAACTGGGAAGCCAAAACATATCAAGACTTTATCATATGAGTTTTAAAAAAAGGATACTACAATTCCCTAAATGCAACAGAATACTTTCATTAGATCCTGACTCTTAAATGCTCCCACAGTTAACCCTCTGATGATTGTTCTTAAACCATCTCACTCATGTGAGATTACCCGGATCACCACTATCATTATTTAATTTAAACTTTGGATCCCCAGCCCCCTGATGATGACTGAGCAGTCATTCTTATGTTAAATACGTTTCCTTTGTAAGACTCATTTGAGCCTCAACATATTGATTCACTTTAGATTGTAGGTGACGCAAAACTTGAAGGGTCAGCACATGATTACCACAGCATAAAGGCAAGTTCCATGGAAAGGGCAGAGGGGGAAGTTTTTAGTTGTTTGTTTCCCTCTTTGAGTTAAAAAAAAAAAAAGAAGCAATACAACAAATAATGAATGTATTGTTTACATGTCTGATCGAACAGCTGCATGGGGAAGTAAATATGAAATTGACATTTTTATATTTTTTTGCATATTATCTGCTGGTTCCTAAAATTACTATTATTTTTTACCATCCTGATCTTCTACAAACTTGCCTGACTCTAACCTTTGATGGAGATATATATATATAACTGTCCATATGTGTATGGTTTAGGGAACCACAGTGGGTTTGAATCACTCATCATGTGAAGAAAGGAAAGAGGAACTAACAGTGTTTGGTAACAGTATTTTAACTCACGAGTTTTTAACCGCTTGAGTACTCATCCAATGCAGACAGCACCGGGGGCGTGTGCATTTCAGAGCTATAAAATATCTTAAAGACAACACAGATATCCAGATGTTTCCTCGGAGCACGCGGGGTGCCCTGATGCGTTTTTACGCGTGAAATCCTCGGGCCATTACTGAATAAAAGCTTTTCTTGAAGCATTAAATATTTGTGCTGAAAGTTAAACCAGTTCAGCTGACCAGCGTAGGGAACCAGCTTGGAATAATCCAGTACATTGCCGTTATTGTTACTTTTGGGGAGATTTTTTGGCGTATACCCAAGACCAAAGGTTGAACAGAGTTTTTGCTCAACGTCTTGTTGGTGTTGCTATTTGCATCATGTATTTGTCAATATGAAAACAACGGATCTTTTACTGTGAATAAAGGAAGTTGCTGGGCCTTCAGAGTCTACAATGGGACATTTTCAGAACGACCTGTGTGCGTCTATGTGGTTCACCTATCTCCTGGTCTACCTCCACAACGTGCTGGGCTTCCAGAGCACCTACGCAGGTGTGCTGCTGCTCATAGGACAAATAGCTGACGGCCTCTGCACGCCTTTGGTTGGATATGAATCCGACAAAACATTAACTGGCATCTGTGGAAAAAGAAAATCCTGGCATCTACTGGGTAAGTTATTGAAGACAAGACTATTCTTAGGTCTTTTTTTTTTTTTTTTATGACTTAAAGAAAGTGAACGCTTGAAGAAGAAGTGTGAATTATTACTTTCCTCACCTTCAATAAGTAAATTGCCCCCAAGTGGAATTTAAATATCAGTTAAAGTGCTCACTCGAAGTAAGTAAACATTTGTATTTCTTATTAGGCGATGTTAAACGAGTCATAGTTTGTTTGCAAGGCACGCTTCGGCCTTTATGATGCTAAAACACAATACGGAGACTCGTTTAATAAGACGTATTCCTCCTCTACTTTCCAGGAACTGTTAGTGTTATTATATCGTTTCCCTTCATTTTCAACCCCTGCCTGGCCTGCACCGACAGCAGTCCTCAATGGGCTCAGATTGTATACTTCTCCCCCTTCATCATCATCTTCCAGTTCGGATGGGCAGCCACCCAATCTCCCACCTGTCCCTCATCCCGGAGCTGGTGACCCGGGAGAGCGAAAGGGTGGAGCTCACTGCGTACAGGTGAGCTGATGTCATCGTCCTATGCCGGATGTTTATTCTACTTGTGAATCAGCTGAGTTAGCTTTGAGCTCATTTACATCTGTAGTCTCTGTAAACTGTCACTTGTATCCCCCGAAGTCCCACAACACTGCAAGCACACCACAAGCTTACATCCCCTAAAAAGTGAAGAAAAATAAATCACATGTGCAGGTGAGGTAGAACCGTCCAATACTGTGGGCTTATCGCAAAACCTCCTCAAATTATGCAAACAAAGATACAAATAAAATAAAAACAATACAAATTAAAATATATTGTACCCAGTTAAAATAACAAACATTTAGGCTTTAGTGTATAACACAGAGGATTTCATTTGAACACCTTTTTTTTTATGTGGATGAAACAGAACAAAGAAATGTTAGTTTAGGTAGTGTGTGTAAAGTGGATTTTGGTTGGAGGCCAGGCTAGTTTTCTCCTCAGACTGTCCTGATGCCACCTGATGCCGCGGTAAATCATGGGGTAGTAAGTGTGATCTTTGTTTACCTTCCGAAATGTCTGACTATGAATGTTGTTTACCTTGTGATGTTCACATGATTATGACTCTGTGACACAAATATTTAAAGGGAATATAGCCTACACCCCTTCAGTGGCATGCAAGTTGAATTTAAAGCTGCTCTTCTGCCTTAAAAGTAAGTGAAGTGTCCGCAGACAGGGCATTACAAATGATGATGTCATTAAGTGAAGATATTTTGTGTTTGTTCATAAATCAAGAACAAGAACAAGAACAACACTGGCAGCTGTGGGCTCAGTAAGTTGAGTCTGTTGTCTCTCAACTGGAAGGTTGGGGATTCGATCCCCAGCTCCTGCAGCAACATGTCCGATATGCCCTTGAGCAAGACACTTCACCCAGAATTGCTCCTGCTGCTTTGTCTGTGGCGCATGAATGTGTATGAATAGGATTTGTTCTTTTACATAGCAACCTCTGCCATCAGGGTGTGAATGTGTAGGTGTGACATGCAATGTAAAAGCGCTACGAGTAGTCAGAAGACCAGTAAAGCACTATACAAGCTCGCCCATTTACCATTTAAGCTTGTGATTTAGTGTTTTGTTTACCTACACCATAACACACTAACAGTGCTGCAGCCATCCCTGATTTATCTTCCGATATCCTCGATTTTTATGACATGTCCTTTAAAATGTCAGGAAGTTGTTAAGAAGATTGATCAGAAAGTATTTAAGACCAGGGTGAACTCTGTAAGGAGATGTTCAAAACCATAGATATTTAGTTAACATCACATAAGATCGAAGAATGAAACAAACTTCATGCAGGTCTGAGCAATGTTGTTTGTTTTTACTTAATTATGCTGATTATTCTTCTTTTTGCATTCAGTCCCTCTTTTGTTAAAGCAGTTATCTGAGATTTATATCTTTAGGATTTCTCTTTAGAATAATATATCACTGACATGTTTAGAGATCTGTTAACTGAGGTAAACAATGTGATGTAAATTAAATATATTAATATTCTTCCCTTAATGTAGACCTGCCACTATGTCACTGATTATTTGCTGTGCGTGCTTGCATACATGTTTAACAATATGAAATATGTTGGATTCTGCATCTTAACAAAAGATGTTCCTAAGTGACAGCAGCATTCAAAGAATCTCTTTACCCCGCTTTGGGACAAGCAGTCATTTATTTTTGTTTTACTGGACTGTTTTTGGTAATTCTTCTCTTAACAATTTACTTTCAGTTGAACATACAAACCTTGCGATCATAATATTTATATTTGAAGGATAACTATTCTTTTCGGTTTTAAACTTGTTTTTGAAACTGTGGGGCAGTTTAACAGTTTATTTCAGCTTTAATTGTTAAAATTCAGGAGTCAGTAAGCAGTAAAAAAAAAAAAAAAAAAAGGCGTCACTTGTTGCCAGTTAAATCACCCGTCATCTTCAGGTCAAAGCGTCGAAAAGGACAGATTTCACAATATCACACACGAATGATGTGGCGTGTTCTTCAATTACTTCTCTTCCTCTCTCTCTTCTTGTGGTCTGCAGCTCTCGCCTCATTCCCGTGTAGAAAGTTAAAAAGATTCTTTTCAGTCATTTATTGTCCAAACTATGAGAGAAGAACAGCTGATGAAACTCTGCTCAGTTGCAACATGAGATTTGTGTCACAGACAGGTTATGGATAAACTGCTGGAAGTAAAGAGTCAAATGTGGCTGAAACAGCAGCCACATTTCTAGTGAAATCAAAAACGGGAAGTAACTCGACTATTTCATCATTGTATTCAGAGCAGCTGAGATCCTGAGGCTGTAATGTATTTAAATTGTAATACGTATGAGTATGAATAAGAATCCTCTTTGTCTTCTGTTACTACTCCTTAAAAGCTACAACAAACAAGTTTGAATTCATTTTCTTCCTGTTCAGGTATGCCTTCACTGTGGTGGCCAATATCACAGTGTTCACTGTAGCCTGGCTGCTCTTTAGATTCCAGACTCCACACAGTATCAGCCCTACCATCACAGACAATGTGGGCCCAGTGGACATCCCTCTGTTCAGGGTAACAAGAGTAATACCTGACCACTTCCTACACTGCAAATCCCTTTTTTTAAACCTAACTTTTGCCTCTCTGTCTATAGGATCTGGCCCTCATTATGCTGGGCCTTGGGGCTTTATTCTCTCTGGTTTTTCATGTGGGCACAAAGGAGGGGACATTGGCCTCAGAGAGAGAGAATCTGCTGATCACACCTGCCCCGTCACAGGATGCCCCACCTCGTACTGTGTTTCAATGGAAGAATTGGCTGAAGGAGCCCTCCTTCTACCAGGTGACTCCTACACATAATTCAAATAGTTTCTTCTCCTTTTACTATGGGAAGCTCAAATGCCATCTACTGCTTTGTTCCAAGTTATTAGTCAAATAAATATAGGGAATAAAAATCCTTCTAATTCTAATCCTTACTAGCTGACAAATAATTTGGAAGACATTGGATAGTGACTATCCAAAGGGATATTGAGCCTTAATTCAAGCGAAAGCATAGTTGTTTACCAATCAACAACTGTCAGACAACAGCCACCTTATAGCTAACATAAATGGCTAGGGATTGACTCCTTACATTTAACACCATCAACACTACAATGTTAGCTAGGAAGTGGCTAAAAAGTAACATAACTTTGTGATAGTGGTCCACAAAAGGAGTTCATTCAAGCAGCAATCTCCGGTGTTAAAAAGTGCAAGGTGCAAAAAATCTGTGGCTGGCCCCAAAAGTAGAGGAAACCCGGTTTGAGCCCATTTTAAAATGGGCTTTCATAACAGAAATAAACGTGATTAAAGCCCCGTACAAATATCGGTTTAAGCTGATTTATGTATTAATAAAAACTGTATCTGTTTTGATTAGCCTATATTAAGGCTAACGTGGCTGATTTGACTAACAACAGAGTGTTCTTTGCCAGGAGACAAAGGCTTTATTTGAACTAAATCCTACCGCTGACGTTGAACTATTGACTTTGTGTCTGTTGTTTTCAGCATTTGGAAAATGCCTGCTCTCTTAATGACGAGCTTGATGAAAGTACTTGTTTCTGGATTTGCTGCAAGGTAGTTGGAGTCAGCATTACAAATATGGCGACTGCCATTTCTGCGTTTCAAAATGCGTCTTAAGAAAGTAATGGGTGATATCACTGAGACTACATCCATGTACTATACAGTCTACGGTTATAGCAATAACACAGTAGAATGGTATTATAGAAGCATAACCCCGAGCAAGACTTGAGAGGAAAATGGCCCCTGTGATATGATGTTTGTAATTCTGGATAAAGTTTGTTGTCAAAGCTAAATTTACACCTTAGCTGACTGATAATCAGTCACGCCTGTTGTTTTTGAAGTACTTATCCCTGCCTATCTTGTGTCAAACTTCATTTGAGTGGTGCAAAACACCTAACTCCAAATTAAATTCTCAGGCTTGGCTACCTGATTTGCATCATATATTTCCTCATTCAGATATATTGTTGGTAACTTGGACTGTAAAGTTACCAGGATAAGCTCTTTAACCGTTTGCTATAAGTAAATGTGGTGGACTTTTTAATAGGGGTAAAATAACTTGAGAGTTTACAACCTTCAATTAGATATAGGGCATTGAATAAAAGTGTTGACTGTCAAATACTCAACTTCCTGCATTCTGTGCATTTATTAAGTAAAACGACTAAATCAGTAAAATACAGTAATAATTGAATTTCTGGAGGAAGTTTTCTTTCAGCAAGATTTAAGAGGCCATTATTCACATGGTAATTTTATTCTGAGGAGTTTTAAGTAATTTACGTGGAAAAACAAGTTTATTGATTCTCTCACCTAACCCGAACTCTCTCTGCCTCGTGGTGGAATTATAAATTACCCAACAAATACATTTGTCTACAACTGTTTCGTCACTGTTTGTAGTTAGATTGAGCCGAATAAATGCTCGCTATAGTTGTAGTCCGAACTCCAAACCTTCTATAACAGCCTAAATATGTTTTCTAATCCGAGATTTCACCACAATACAGGAATGAATGTATTCTGAGTCTATCCATTATGGAGCTGTATGCCTATTTAAGACTATAGGTCTAGAAAATTCTTGTTAAATTATTAATTGATTGAGCTAAAATGTGTCGATTGCCTAGAATTCTAGAGGAAAAAAACATGAACATGTCATTGATTTGATTAACTGATGATTGATTGATAGTACTCGACTGTGTTGAGTATGACATTTGACTTGTGTCACAGCAGCTCCATTTACAACAAAAACATTCAAGAATAAAAAATGGTTTCGTTTGGAGGTGTCGAACGTCTTTCTGAAAAAACATGTTTCCTTTGTTTGATTTTGTACCAGATGGCTTTCCTGTACATGTGCACTCGCCTCATAGTCAACTTATCTCAGACCTACATTTCAATTTTCATCACCGACTCACTGATGTTGCCAAAGGTAAGGCCACATAGCGTTATTTCACACTATGACTTGTGTAACCCATTATCATCAACATCAAACGTCTGTGTTGCAGTTTGAATACTTATTTCATCCCCTGTGCCTCTCCTCAGAACTTCATTGCCATCATACCTCTGGTGATGTATCTCAGCGGCTTTGTTTGCTCATTGGTCATGAAACCAATCAGCAAGCTCGTAGGAATCTATGTGAGTCTTTAACCAATAAGATATATATATATATATATATATATATATATATATATATATATATATCATTTTTTATACAACTATATTATAATTTTGCCATCAACACTCCCATGTGTATAAATTAATTGTCCGGTGCACGATTTTTCAGCCATGTTTCTCTGACATCTCTCAAATACTGTCATACTGTGTTCAAGGTAGTTAGTTGTATAAATATCAGAAATTTTAGTACTTCAGTATTGATCAGAAACTACATTTTTTATCAAGGGTAACAATTCAGAGGGACAACGAGCCGTATTAAAGTTAAAACAACATACGTGATCACCCATTAGCTTCTTTCTGACAGCAATGATACAGCTAGGCTAATGTTAACATTCAGCCGCCTCCTATTGCTAAATATACTCTTAAATAAAGTTTCTGAATTCTAACACAACTTTTATTATAACACAAGTGTTATAATATAATATAAGATAGGCATGACCAGGAATAACTTATTTGATAATCCACAAGCAACCATCATACAAAAGCCAATACTAGCATAACTACTACCTTGTTAGCGTTACCGTGAGCAGAAAGAAAATGTCGGCGTTCAGCCACTTCATAGCAGAAAGTAAAATTAGCCAGGAAGTGCATGAATGCTAACATGATGTTAGCCAATAGATGCCAAATATATCATTTTTAATTTAAAGATTTTTTAATGTCCCTGAGAATTATTTTAGCAACGGTTTTTCAAACTGTTTATCAATCAGGACCTGAAGTGAAATGATAACGAGTTGTCTCACTACATAAAGATACAGCAAGACAACATCACATCATTTAATACATTACACTCCCACCCTGAGTGTGATGTCAGAGAAAAAAAAAGGCAGACGAGTGAATATGGTGAATTAAACTGACAATTATGTGTTTGTTTTTAGATTACCTATTTATTCGGCCTGGTGCTGGTGTTTGTGTTTGGCATCTGGGTGTATGTGGCCAAGCACATGGGAGCTGACAGCATTTATGGAGCCGCCGTGCTGCTGGGCGCCGGCACAGCTACAATCCTGGTTATGTCTCTTTCAATGACCGCCACGCTCATTGGGGACCAGACGGTAAGTGGAGAGAACATTATTTAAAACAACTACAGCTTTGGAGGAGAGATGTTAATTTGATGCAAAAAGCAAAAAGCAATAGGAAGAAGCAATGAAAAATAAAGTCTTTGTGGAAGTACAAAAACTTACAGTTCCTTGAGTGTCCACTAGAGGCTTTCTTCAGAAGCCCCTAAAGTCACATAAAGACCCCCATTCTAAAATGTCCAATATTTTAAACGCAGACATACACATGTTTGGAGCCTGGTTTTAAAAAAAATGGCCTGAAGAGCTTATTTCTTTATCAGCAAACACTGTACTGGGAGGGATTTTTGTTTTTAAATGTGCCCTTTCTGATTGTATGGAGGATAAGAGTAATTCATAAAACGGGTCGCGGCTGAAATGACTGGTGGGCGAGCATGTTGTAACTGTTTGTCAGGAGGCTTAAGGCCCGCCTCAGCTCCACCTCTTTACCTGTTACTAGCTTGACTTAAAGTTTGAGTCAGCATTTCCTTCATGGTGAACGTCATCAATAGGCTTCAAAAGTCTGCTTCAGAAACAAATGGGTGACGTCACTGAAACTTTGTCCATGTTTGCTACAGTTCATGGATATGAATGATAAAATGTGAAAAAAATCTATCAATTACTTCTCCCTGTGTATCCAAAGCCTTATATATCCTACATCACATTACAGGATTTATTTCTATTTGGTTAATGTTTGCCCAGGAATGTTCTGAGCTTTTTTATTTTTTTTATAAAAGTTCAATTTGATCAGTTTTGAAAGATTGAAAATCTTCTTTTAACTGAATCAACCTGTGAGGGCACTAAAACTTTGCCATTCAGAAAAATGGAGAAAAATCGAAATGCTAATTTTATCTTCCATGTCCTTAAATTTCATTTATCATAAAGCACATGATTTTGGTGAAACTTAATCACAAGGCATAAAAAACAGCTGCTTCATTGTCTTAAATGTCACCTCAGTATAAGCCGTTCATTCACGGGAGTAGATCTACAGTTCGATAAATGTATAAATGTGTCTGAGGTCACTGAGGGGAGGTTATCAAATCAGTTTGTTCTGGTAACAGTATCACAGTCAGGCGAGGTGAGGACAATCTCAGCTGTGAAATTAAGGCTTGTATTGGTGTGTCAAAGCACTTTGTAAACATCTGTCTTGAATGGTGCTATATACATAAAGTTATTTTTATTATTATTATTATTATCATTCAGGTTGCTAGCTGTATAAATGTAGCCAATTTGACAAATATGGTTAAACCACTTGGAGCAGAATCAGCAAATAAAAGATAATAAACAGAGAATCCACAGAGACATTGAGCTATATTTCAAGAGGAATTTAACATATTCAAAAACATTAAGTTATGTTAGTCAACAGCTAATAGTAGCATTAGTCCAATCTCAGCTTGTATTACATCAGCTTGCTCACTTATCATGTACAACACAACAGACATACCTGTGTTAGCTTAGCATCAATAAGGGCTCAATGTCTATCCTCATTTTCACATGTATTATCTTTACAGTAGCTGATCAGTACTGAAGAGATACAGTTATATTGATTTGTGAGATGGATTATGTTTATATGATTCAAACCAGTAATACAACACTATACTTGTTTTGTGATCATCTCGTATCTCTGTTTAATTAAGCAGCAAAGTGGAGCCTTTGTTTACGGGTCAATGAGCTTCACAGACAAGGTGGCTAATGGTCTTGGGGTCATCCTCATCCAGAGCCTCCGACCATGCAAGTAAGTTCCACATTTTAGCAGACCTTGTTGCCGATGTATTAAAGTGAAAGTCGAAAGGAAGCTGTCAGCAAAGATTTTTTACAGACAGAGAATTGAAAGCTGTTGTGTGGTTGATCTAGATGTTTTTCTCTCCCGGACAGAATACAAGGGAATCTTTAAGAACTTCTGTTTTTTTAATAATTAGAATAAGCATCAGGAAAAGTTGACTTTGAAACCTTAATATGAAGCCACATCTTCTTGTGACCAATCGTATCAGGTTTAATGTCTGTAAGTTGTGAGCTGTTCAGTCAACAAGCATTTTCAAAGATCGGGTTAATATTTATTCACCACTTATGTTTTTAAAGATCTACATCTTCAAGGAATAACTGAGACATGGAAAAGATGCATGCAGTTTTTTCTTTACATGTAATTTTGTGTAAATAACAAACAAATAGAAAAACAACTGCATAGTCCATTAGCAAATGGCTTTGTGCAAATTTCTCTTTTCTAAATAAAGTACCAAAATAATGATTTTTCCTTCTTTCAGGTTGTAAAAAGAATCTCATTGATTTATTTAATACCTCTGCTTTGCTGCTGTTATTGTTAAATGCTCAACCTTTTTTGCTCCTTCATCTCCCACAGCACAGAAGCCTGCTGTCCGGACTGCGTTTGGTTCTATCGTGACGTCATGGCCGTTGTAACCGGGGGTGTGGCCATTGCTGCAGCAATTTGCCTGTTCACAATTATGACCTGGCCAATCAGGATACGGAGAAATTAGGGTTCAAAGTCTGTGCTCCAATAATTGATACTGTTTGCTTCTGTGAGAACAAACGGACAGCCCCTTGTCATAGATATAATAACTTACAGCACAGTTTTGTCAATGTTTCATTTTTATAAATGTTGTTGTTGGACAAGGGAAACCTTGCAAAAAAATGTAAGCCATGCTGCCACCTAGTGTATGAAATAGTATCTACACTGCCTCCCAGACTTCAAAATAAGAATTATATAGACCAAGGATGGACAACTTTGATCACACAATTCTCACTGCCAGAGGGCCAAATTGTAGGATACTCTTAGGTGGACTTATAATTCAACCAAAGGAAGGAATACATAGCTACTGATTCTAAATTACGACCAGTCAAGACTACCAGCGATGCTCCTTTCTAAAATAACAAATCACTTCAGTTCATTTGTAATTTTTATCTCCCGGTTATGGCCACAGCCTTCAGATTTTGTCATGGTTTCTTCATGTGTTTCCAATTAATTGATATGTAAAAACTGACCTGAGGGCCACTTTGAGTGTTGAGCGCCACCAGTTGCCCAACCCTGATACAGACGATACAGGTAAAAATGCGTCATTAAACAGTCTTTAGATGGATTCAGAGGTGTGAAATAAATGTAGGAAGTGAAATCCCGCTGAGACTCATTGACACAAATTGTTATATTTTATATTTTTATCTAGATGTTTTATTAGAAGTTTAAAAAACTGCACAACTTAGCCGAACCTGGGGACGCACAACTTTACAGACATTTCACATGAGAAAATACTTTAAGTGACACTTGCATGTCAAACGCACTGGAACAAAACAGAATTTTTCAGATCAATTCAATTTGGTGATTTAATTGATTAAATAAAAATGCAACACCCTTTTAAATCAATGATCATCAGATATGTTAAATAATAAACTTGTTCTTTGTTTTGTCTATGACCATGGTATGTAAACAAAGTATACATCAACATATAAGAACCAATTTCTGTCATTAAAGGAATAATACCAGAAATATTAACCAAGGACTGTGCTGTTTTGGTGAATTCTAATGTGTCATTTTTGTTCCTCCTATAGTCACAGCAGTAACGCTCTTGACTGATTTCACCCTGTAGCCTACATGATTAAGTGTGTTTTCTGACAAAAAAAGTATTTAATAGTTGACTCTTTGACTTTAATAGTCAAATGTACCATCACTGTTAATCTTTGCAGTGGCAAATGTATACAAAGAAAAGCTGTTTCAGCAGCCTATTGATTGCCTTGTGGGACACCAATCCCTCGGAAACAGTTTGAGGCTTTAAAAATGATTGTTGATACCCAGTCTTCTTCCTGGTGGTCCCTTTACTTTTGCAGAGGCAACAATAATATTAATTCCGGTATATTTCATAACTACGGGTTGTAAAAATGTACTAGGAAGTCAAAAGTCACAGGTTTACATTTATGTAAAAGTCTTCTGATTGTTATCTATACTTCATTGGACATTTTAAGATAATAGGTTCATGTGATCAATTAACAATACAGACCTCAACTAAATAAAGTACTTGACTTTATTTTGGCCGTTCTGTCTATCAGTTCTCATTAGTGTGTGCTTGATTCAACAGCCAGATAATACCTATACTTACCATTAGCAAGGGTATGCCATGCATGCATCCTGCACATCCTGTTAAAAGCATCTTCATCTCTCAGTAAAGTACTGAATTGGGTACTGTGGGGCAAAGAGGCCATACTTAAAAAATAAAAAAAAAAATCAAGAAGAACTGCACTACCTGCAGGGCCTTCCACAGACACATGGAGTAGTCATTCAGTGAGAAAATGTAGGCTGCCATGCGGGCGTCCAGCAGGCATGAAGGCATGCCGCCCCTGAGAAAAAATGTGTCCATTAAAGCCAACATTTTGTGACTTCTGGCAGGCTACATTTCAATGCCACTATTCTTTGATATACAATCATATTTATAACATTTTATATTGTTTTTGAGTTTTCTTACCCAATTATTAACAGTTAAGGAATTAACTGTCAAGCGCGGGTGGGCTTGAATTATATAACATAGATAGATAGATATAACTTTATTGATCCCCCAATAAATTAAAGGACAATTAGAGTGTTTAAATCAAAGTATTAAAGCCGTAAACATAAATATGTCATGAGTTTTTTATATTAAACTACTTAGTTTTAAAATGTCTATGTGAAAAATAACAGATAAAACCATGCAACAACATGAGCTTCATGCAGGAATAGCATTGATTTTGGTTATAAACTGTAGAAAGCCCGACCCCTGGCGGCGGAACCCGGCGGTGCAGCAGCGTTGTCCGGTCGGTGGGCCTCATCATCAGGCGGGCGGGACAAAGCACTTGTTCAGAGACTGCTGCTTGTGAGAGAACCGTTGCCTCTGTCTCTGCCTGGGACAGCGGACTAGTAACGTAAGCCTGAAATAAATCAGGTTTTAATATTGGTTCACTAAAGTATAGGTACACATTCACACTCTGTCGGATATATTATTTCTCTCCAACTGTTCCAAACTTTCAACAAAAAAAAGGAGACTTAACAGGAAACGGACTGCCAGATTTCAACTCCTCAGCGACCCTTCAGGTAAGACCACATTAAGGTTGTTGAAGTTCATTTCAAAAGTAGTTATTTGCGTTATTTATCTGGTTAAACTTTCATGATTGCGTTTAATGATGTTGTTTAAGACGAGTTGAGCATTTGAGTTTACATAGTTAACGTTTGGTTCATTTGTGACCTTCAGGTAGGATAGCTTTACATTTTTAAGATTACAGCGTCATTATTTCAGTCAACAAAAAAAACCCATTCAAAATTATACCAAACAAATACAACCAGGGCAAAAATCACAAGAAAAACTGTCAACATAGCAGTCTACGGTGTAAATTATCAGCATGAACACTGGATTTTATCACAAAAAGCACATCAAACAAACTATCTGTAAACAAGAACAAGTGCGCTTTAAACAGCGGAGAAACTTCAACTCCATTACCCTTCAAAGATAGATGAAGTACCTGTTTACAAAATACTAGTTCAAACTTGAGATTTATTTTGTGTTGTGAAATAAAGCAGACGCTTAAGACTTACTAATTAGTCTGTACACTACAAAAAAGAAAAGAAAAAGGGGGAAGCCTGGTAATAAGTCCAGATGCATCAAATGGTAAACAGCTGAGTCAAACTTTATCATCATCTCTTAGAAAATTCACTTTGTCTTTCCTTTTCCTCAGCTAAAAGGAACACAGGGTTAAACAAAACAAAACAAAATAGCTAAACAATGTGTAGTATATTTGTCTTGCAGTGTTGTGTGTAATCAACACTTTGTAGTCCTCTTTCATTGGTCAAATGGGATTAACAAAAAATGAAAGCCCATCTGGGTAAAATGTAATACAATCCAACTCTAAGATGAAAATTAAAAAAGCCTCTCCGAAACAGTCTACATAAAATGCACATTAAACAGATGAGCCTAAAACATATTAGACTGAAATCACATCAACCGTTCCCACAGCAAGTTGTATGTTGTTGTTGTTGTTTTCATGCTCCAAATTTTTCTGAGATTTTTAAGTGGGGTGTTTTCAGGCAGGAAGTGTTGGCTGACTCCTGTGTGTAAGCCAGTGGGTCCCAGCCTACATGGTGCAGGGGTCTAATTGTTTTTGACAGATGTGAGGCATGTGACTGTATGACTGGAATTCCATTATCAGCAGCAGATGATAGAGTCTCTGTGTTGTAATGCAGCTCGGGCTACGGCTGGTGGGTGTTGGACCTGATCTGCGACTGTGGTCCAAGCTCTGAGCTTCTACCCAGCAGGACGTTTTTAGACAAACACTACTGTACAGCTACTCTACTGTACTATTAAGTGCTGCTCATGTCACGTCCTACCCTTGCTGACATACTGCTGCTACGGCAAGTTCTTTTGGTAAAAGCACACCACACTTTATACAGGGAGCTATATTATATTATATATATATATATAATATGTGTTATATTATGTTATATTGTTTGCTGAAAGGAGGAAAAGTGAAATCATATCCATCACATTTTTGTAATCTTTGCTTGGAAATTATTTAATCCATCAATCATGTCCGTACAAAAAAAAAAAGGTAATTTAGTTCAGCCATACCTTTGGCAACTTCTTCCCTCATTTCATAGAAGGGTACGACATTTTGAGCTCCTTCTGTGGTGGTTAAAAGATTTTTCAACCCATTGTCTCCCCTTTACCCAACCAAGAGTGGATTGAAATGCTATCCTCCACAAAGTAAAAAGTGACTATAACAACGTTTTTTTTTTGTTTTAACTGACGTTGTTTTGTCCTTTTCACTGTGATTTCAGATTTTTACCAGCCAGTATTTGTGATCAATAATACCTTGATTATAATCAAATTCAACTACAGTAGAAAATAACTCGGACCAGTGGCTCGTGAGACCACCTGTTGATCAACAAATAGGGATACCTGACACCCTGCACACAATGTACCCATCCACCTGTCCTCCCCTCTTTCAGCCAGTTTCTCCCTCCTCACCCCTCTCAGCAGCAGCACAGAGGAGCCCTTGTTTGATCCTCCCTGGACAGTGCCCCAATTTTCTTCCTTTTTTTTTTTTTTAACCCAAACTCCATGGCAACTCTGTTCCCGTGACGAGCAGTCTTGACTTTTGCCCCTCCTGCTCCCGAAACAAAGGCAAGAAGTTATGGGGGGAGAAAAGGGGGAGAGGGGAGGGGGATGAAGGATATGGAGGAATGAGGGAGGGAATAATGGGAAGGTGTCTGGGATGGAGGCTCTGAGGCGAGACTTCTTCTGCCGTATGTGTCAGAGTCCCATAAAGAGAGGAGAGTTATGACCGGAGACTGTAGACCGTGGGCAGTGCCAGGGACCGTCTGTCTCTCTGTCTCTGTCTCTGTCTCCATCGGTCTGCATGTCTACATTTCTGAATGGCCGTTATCTCCAACCATCCCAATGTGTACATGGAAGACAGCGTGAAAGCTTTAGAGGAAGTGGGAACTAATTATTTGCCTTTGGTTGCTATCAGTGACGACCAATATGTTGATTATTTTCTTTAAAAAAAATAGTTTCTAAGTTGTTTTATTGATGGATTATTTTTTTTGTTCTGTTACAAAATGCAGTGTAACTTAATATTTAAAACTTTTTTCAGCCTATTATCATATATCAGAAAATAAAGCATCCTGTCTACACAACTGAAAAGCTGAAACAAGGGAATATTTGGAATTTAGGGAAAAACAAGAAATGATTCAAGATAAAATGTATTCACCATTATATTTATTCAATTAAATCTGCAGCTATCCTAATGGAAGAAACAACTTATTTGATTTTAGCCTAATACAAATGCTAGATCAGGGGGAGTCATTTTCAAAACCCCCAAAACTTTTTACCTGCTTCTAGCCTTTCAGAAGTGAAACCTTAGTTTGTTTTCCAAAAAGGACCATAGAACTGACGGATCATGTGGGTACATTTGCTCGGAATTATTTTCACTGTTTAATAATTTAAGAAAACAGAATATATGAAGCCATAATTGGCAAATGTATTTCTTGCCCCCTCCTCCTCTGGATTCATGATATTGTAATGTGACGTTTAAACAAATGACATGTTAAAAGCACCTTGCACTTAGCATTGTGTTCATATCTGGCTGAGATTACAGTTTAAAGGTTAAGAGGAATGTAAAAGGTGCATAAATGTTTTCCTTGATAGTGACTACGTGTTACATGTCTTTTCACTGAAACATGTGGGCAGTCCACTCCCCGGAGGTCTTAGTGTAGAAGAATGGGCATTGTTAAGTCGTTTACACTGTGGCCTTGGCTGTCTCTCTGTAAGATTTGTAACAGAAAGAAAACAAAATTTTCAGCTGGGGGGGCGGGATGTGAAATAATCAAAGTCTGGCTGGACATTGAGGGGGGCTGGAGAGAAACTCCTACAGCCTGTGAAGAGACAAAAAGGAAAGTATTGTTGTTTGGCCGCCCTCCCTGCCCTGGTACCGACATCTCCACGCTCATTCTGGATTTGTTGGTTCAGAGAC